TCGTTGTACATCTGTTTATATGTCGTCGAGAAATCATAAACCACGGGAAGAGTAGGTGTCGGGCCTGGGAGCTTCACGCAAGATCCAGCTCCGAAAGACCGGACACTGAACCCTTTCTTCCTGAGGATGCTGTGGGCTTCCATGCTCCTGTTCATGTTACTCATACACACCACAGCCAGCCTGAGCGGGAATGAGGGCATGATGACGGCCACCCGGAATTTAGTGACACAACTGGGCGTCAGTGGCTGCCGGGACTCTGAAGCCAAAGGGATGACCACCCAGCTACAGCAAATCCAACCAGCTAAGTGTCAAAGAACAAGATCTGGGCTTATATTGACACCTTCCCCGAGTGAGAGGAGACTTCCAGGACTTCTGGATTGATTGGATTATGATAATGAACCCTCACCAGAGAACTTAATCTAATCATGAGAACTAAGTGATGAAGACAACTGAAAAAAATAATAAAATCCAAACTCAACAGAGATGGTGCCACCCAGTGAGGAGGGTTTTGAATTTAAGTGAGCTCTATGGTTTCTCTGAGTAATGAAGCTGCGAAGCTACTGACAGTGCCTAACCTTCTGTGTAACTGGCACACCCTGCGCAGTCCTGAAAACATTTCAGGACATCTAGGCCCACACCTTCAGATGCTTCCCGTTCTTCCTGAGGGCTAAGGTGATCCACGACAAGTGCATGGTCAAGACCAAGGGCTATTGCTCCTTAGTTTTGAGGATCTGGCGACTATATACATACCGTGCGTCAGAAAAACGGGAACTATGTGGGCTCGCGCCCCATCCAGTTGCGCAAGAGCATGTGGAAGGGTCGGAACCCGAATGTGGTGCGCTAGAAGCAGAAGAATTTGGGCCTGAGATGGGGTCTGCGGCCTGGCACCCGCTCCCACCCGTCCGGGGGCTGGCTCCTCCACACGATTCTCTTTGGAAAACCCTCAACTATCCACCCATCCACTTCAAAACCAATTTCAATGAATTTTGTTCATTTCCAAATAAAAAAGAAAACATAAATAAACAGCTCAATATTTATTGACAGAAATTCGTAGAATATGGTTAAATCCCAGTATTTGAGATCTGTCTCCTCACAGGAGTTTACATTATAGTGACTATGAAGTTAAACCTCTTACTCTATGAATATGAGAATTGTTACTGCTGGTTTGCTTCAAATTAGGGGCATGAGAGTGCTTCAACAGAACATTATTAAACTCTATCACATGATATTAGGTCAACTTGCCTCATTAAAGTTTCTCAATTGAAAATAGAAGCACTAATAAGAAATGATTGGATTATTCAATATCCTAAGAAATTCATTTAAGGGAATATGGGCAAATATTTCCTAGAGATCCTGGTTTCAATACTTTTGCAAATATACCCAGAAGTGGGGCTCACTGCATTCTATGGTACTTCTGTTATGAATTTTATGAGGATTATTAATTCCAGTATTAATCAAAATATATAAATTGAAAATCAATAAAAATTATTTTTGAAAACTGTTCTAAAAACTTTTATATTTAAAGAAAAATTGCATAGTACACAGTGCCACCAACCTTGTTTCCCCTATTGTTAACATTACACCTTAGTCTGAAACATTGCTATAATTAATCAACCAATATTGATGCATGATATTAACTAAAAAGTATTCAGATCCCTTAGATATTTTACCAGATGTCCTTCTATTCCAGGACCCCATTCAGGAAACCACATTGCATTTAGTAGTCTTTTCTCTGTAGGATGCTCTTGGCTATGACCATTTCTCAGAATTTCCTTGTTGTTGAGGTTCTTGACAGTTTTGATCAGTATTGGTCAAATATGTTGTGGGATGTCCCTGAATTGGGATTTGTCTGATGTTCTTTTCATTATTATATGAGGTTATGAGACTTGGAGAGGAACACCACAGAGGTAAGTTGTCTCATTTTTTCACCTTTTCCTTATATTAGTTTCAGATATACAACATAATGATTCTATATTTGTACATATTTTAAAATGATAACTGCAATAAGCCTAGTCAACTTCCAACACCACTTATAGTTATAAATTTTTCTTGTGATGAGGAGTTTTAAGATTTACTCTCTTCACAACTTTCAAATATGCAACGTGGTATTATTAACAATAGTCCCCTTGCTGTAATTATACCACATGACTTATTTATTTCATAACTAGATGTTTGTACCTTTTGACACCTTTCACCCATGTCATCCACCCCCCCACCTGTGGCAACCACCAATCAGTAATCTATATCCATGAGCTCTTTCTTTGGTGTTTTTCTTTCTTTTTTTAGATTCCACATATATGTGAGACCATATGGTCTGTCTCACTTATTTTACTTAGCATAATGTTCTCTCACAGTCCACCTATGTTGTCAAAAATGACAAGATTTAGTTCTTTTTATGGATTAATAATATTAATAAATATGATATTATACATAATTCATTTTAATATATAATGTATAATTTATTTATAATTTGTAATTTATGTGTATGAATTATATATATATACTTTTATCCATTTATCCATAGCTTATTTCCATAGCTTGGCTATTGTAAATAATGCTGCAATG